AAAACTCTTCTTAAACCGTGTCAGAAAGTTTTGCCACCTTTGCATATAAAACTTGGCCTAATGAAAAATTTTGTAAAGGCTCTGTAAAAAAACGAAATCCCTGCTTCCGAATATTTTACACATTTTTTTCCCGGCATTTCTTTTGCCAAAATTAAAGAAGGAATCTTTGTTGGACCACAAATCAGAAAACTGATGAAGGATAAAAAATTTGATAATATGTTAAATAAAGAAGAGTTGAAAGCATGGACTTCCTTTAAGCAAATGGTTATCGGCTTCTTGGGTAACGAAAGAAATTCACTTTATAGAGAAATTTTTGCATCTTTAATTAAAATCTACAAAGTTCTTGAGGCAAATATGTCTCCAAAAATGCATTTCTTGCAGTCTCATGTGGACTTTTTCCTTCAAATTTTAGTGCAGAAGATGATGAACAAGGTGAAAGGTTTCATCAGGATATCTCTGCAATGGAAAAAGATATCAAGGATATTGTGACGTAGGCATGTTGGGAGATTATTGTTGGACAATTATAAGAGAAATAAATCCTACACACTATAAGAAGTTTGCTCAAACTACACATATACCTCGTTTTAATATATAAATTTACTTTTAATACTGCAGTTTCACGTTCGACGTCAAACTTTTATATAAAATGCAATATATTAATATTTAATAATATTAATTTTTAATTTTTAAATAAAATTTATACAATTTTATATAATACTGTTTAGATTTGCACTTTAAATTTAAAAAAAATAAATTCTGTTTCAAGTTTCACCTTTAATTTGATATATCACACACTACTATGGTAACTTCAAAAATAAAATTATGGGGCCTTATGTAGGGTGATGTTTTGAGAAAAGTCAAAATAACGGTTTTTTGCAAATAACTCGAAAACAGTACACAGGAAAAAAAAATCGTTGTGATTTTCGAGTTCTACGGAAAATTTCTGTATAGGAAATATAAGTCTCGTCTTTGGAAATTTTTGGCTGTAAACTAGTGTTATTATACAAATGTATCCAGTCATGTGTTGCAAGTGTGGTGTTGGTGCTGCTTTGCTACTATCGAAAAGGAATCTGCATAAAATGACTTAGCGGACAATGAGGATAAACCGAAGTATATGTTAGCTACTAGTAGACATGTGTGTCGTGCTAGTGAATTGCGAAGATCTTTTTGAAGCTGTTGAGCACTTTATCCATCGTGAAAGCGCCTAGATATCGATCCAATGATGTGACTCTGGAGATCAGATGATTGGTGCTACTATGGGCACCTGTAAAGTTCTCTCTCGACTGACTAAACTTATGCTCTATAGGTCACCCATCTTACCTCTGCTTTTGTATGATGCCGAAAAGAAAAAACTATTGTAGAACGATGAAAAAGCACTGGGAGTTCTCAAGAGAAAATTCTTCGCAAGATATTTAATTCTCTACGATTTAATAACGACTACCGTATCAGATTGAGCCACGATTTGAATGAACCTTATCACGATATCGATATCGTTCAGAGACGATAGGTCAGGTTTCGGTGACCTGGACATGTCGTGAGAATTGATGAAGATGCTCTACCGAAAAGAAAACTAGTGAATGAAGCGGAAGTTAGAGGAAGAAAGCATAGAGGTAGACGGTGTCTTCGGGGCATTAAGCAGTAACTACGCTTGATGTTCGAAATAGAAGTTAGGCTGCAGAGTCGCGTGTTCAGGAATGCTGCGTGACGCCAAAGTCCGGTAATGAGTTGCTGTGGTCAATTAAGTCAGTACATAAGTTTCTTTATTTTATGATAAATTTGTTTATTTTTTTATTAAATTTGTTGTAAATTTTTGTATGTTGTTGAAAGGGTGCAGTAAAGAAGATTTTCCTTAACGCAACCAAATCTATCTATCTATATATCTATCTATACATATATAAAATCGTTTGTTCGTCTGTTCGTTACTCAATAACTTTTTATTGACTTAACTAATCTTCTTGATACTCTCAGATCATATTTATATAGTTTTTCGGCGTAACATAGGCTATTAAAACATTCGATATTAGTTATAATTTTAACTTAAATAATAAATTTAATAATTTCCGTTTCAAACTGTTCGACAGTTTGAATGATACTGATTTTCTTTTTGTTTATTTTTGTGTTTTTTGTGTATATTGTTCGAACTTTTGCGAAGTAGCAGAAATGACATAAAATAGAAATTCTAAATGTTAATTGAAATAAACATGAAAATTGTTCAAAATATTTTTTTTTAATAAATGCATTTATGTTATATAATAATGTTTAATTTAAATGAAATTATAAATTTCAATATGTATTTGAAAGAAATAATAATCAGGCCTATTCTGAATACTCCCAGCGAAAAAACTCCCTATTCCCACGCTGTTCCCGAACACACAGCTCCCTTATTCTGAATCGCTAGGGAGACAGCAGTTTCGTGAACAACAACAATTGTGCAAATTAGGAAAAAACTCCCATTCCCATGCGATTCAGAATAGGGGAATTGGGAACAGGGAACATATCAAATTTATTCAGAATAGGGGAATTGGGAACAGGGAACAAACTCCCATTCCCTTGCGATTCAGAATAGGCCTGATAATAAAAAATTGGTAAAATTATATATCATGAGATATTCAGGCCTATTCTGAATCGCAAGGGAATGGGAGTTTGTTCCCTGTTCCCAATTCCCCTATTCTGAATAAATTTGATATGTTCCCTGTTCCCAATTCCCCTATTCTGAATCGCATGGGAATGGGAGTTTTTTCCTAATTTGCACAATTGTTGTTGTTCACGAAACTGCTGTCTCCCTAGCGATTCAGAATAAGGGAGCTGTGTGTTCGGGAACAGCGTGGGAATAGGGAGTTTTTTCGCTGGGAGTATTCAGAATAGGCCTGTATATATTTATTTAAAATGAAGCATTTAGAAGCCTGCAAATAAATTAATTGCATTAAATTGCATCTTATTAGTTTGTAATTTAATTTTGCATACTTAAATTAAAACGGTTTAGAAAATTGCTGTTATATTTTTATACAAAGCAATTTAATGCAATTTAACATTTATACATTTAATTGTATAAGAATTTCACGATTTTTTTTTATTTCATTTTTATATTATTTATTTGTTTTAAATTATTATTACATAATTTAAATTGTAAATGTAAATTTTTAATTGAAATTTATTCAAATTAATTTGTCAAGTTATTATATTGGATGGCAACCATGAAACCGTGCCAAATACATCATGTAACGGGAATTTGTTCGAATGTCGTATTCTATCCCAGGTTTGAAATGCTGTGGCTATATTCAAGCAATTATTTTTGACTACGAAAATAAAATAAGCAAAATGCAAATGCAGCAACAAAATGCCGTCAATG